AAAGTATGACTACAATGTATACATCATAAGATTTCATAATTTTTTTTTCATACATATATATTGTATGTATATGTACTATGCACTGTAATGTCTTTAAATTCCTCTGTTTGTCAGTTTGGTGAGTCCAGGGCTCCCCAACCTTGGCGCCATTCATGTAATCATATACTGCTGGGGCAATAAAAAAAAGTAGCTTTCACAGCTGGAATCTTAGGAGAGTATAGTCAGCAACATACATATACAGGTACAATTAAATTCCCAAAAGTCATTTACCAGGTTGGAGGAGGATACAACCCTACAACAGGAATACATGTATTCACTGCCCCAAAGGCCGGACTCTACCTCATATTCTGTACTAATGTGGCAGATGATCATATTAACCTTCTGGACATATATAAAGATTAATGGTTCCATAAAGGCAGGAGTCATGGCTTATGTTGGATCATCTAATATAGATGTCCACCAATCAGCCTCCAACCTTGTTGTCCACCAGTTACAGGTGGGTGACAGAGTCTGGATAGAAGTCTTTAGTGGTAGTCATCTGTACTCAGCTTCTCCAGAAACAACCTTTTCTGTGATCATGATCAATGGATCAGGTTAAGACCAACAAGGTCTTTTGGTGCTTTATTTTATTCTAAACCGAAACTTACTTCATAAATTGAAAAAAATGCCGACTGAATTAAATCAACAATAACCGATAACTAATGAATATGAAAGAACATTAAAAATTCACTAAAAACCACCAAATGTGATGTTTCCAATATTACTGATATGATTTCTTAGTATTATATTGTATCCATTAAATGTTTACATGTTGCTGTAAATGACATTTTGTAATGGACCTGAATTAAAGTCATTTTGTTCTAATCCTTCAACTTCGACCTTCAAAATAGACATACTCTTAATGTTGTTATCAATAATGTGTACACCTTCTTTTTCCACTGTTCATTTTAAGACATTCCTCTATTTATTTCTTTACGTTTTTACTTCGGTATTCTCCGTGTAACTTCGTATCTAAAGAAACTGGTTTTTCATGCACGAGCGGTTTAGCGCTCACTATAAATACTTTTACCGGGGAATGTTCGATTAATGCGACGTTCGTTACAAAGAATCGCAGGTTGTAGTAAGTCTTTGGCTTTCCCTGCCCTCCCAGCCCTTGCATTGTTTATTTTGTAAAATTTTTTGAGTTTGATTTGTATGTTTTGGAATAAAAATGCGATTTGTAACGAACGCAACAATCCTACAGTATATTCTTTTTCTTTGTTTTTCAATAAATTAGTCAAGAAAATATTTATTTGCGGAGGAGTGAAACGAGGGAGAAAATAACATCATTTAAGAACAAGATAGGGTAAGACCAGTATTTGGTCCCAGACTTTGGATGTCTTTCAGAATGATCCAACAGTTTATCCATAAAAACCTGTTGTCCCTGCCACAAAATGAGTATTAGTTCTAAGATTTAGAATATACAGGGGTCACAGTGAGGTCAGGAAATAGGTTAATTTTTCGAAATTTCTCATTTTTATGCAAATTTTCATCGATTTTACAGCGCATTTTGTTTCGTTTAACATAGATCACACGTTTGCCTATCTACCAAAATTTATATATTTTATACACTCATATCAGATGCAGTTTATGTGTAAAAATTTCAGATAGGCAAGCTTGTGCTCTATTTTTAATGATGAATATGATGAAATTCCACCAGAATTGAGGAAATTCTGTAAAATGCAAAAGACCTACTTCTGCACCCTCTAGTTGCTTCAAAGTTAGCTTTGAATCTAAATTAGTGCTTGTTTTAAAGCAAGCGTCATTTTAACTTCTTAACAACAAACTATCACAATTTTACCAGTGTTCTCATTTTAAAATCAAATAAAGGGCCTGATTCGGCCAATACCCTATCTTGTCCTTTAGTATTGTGATGCAATTATACACACATTATAAATTATTATGCTTCCTGTCAGTTTGTCTCTAGCTCTATATAACCCATGCTCTACTATTTATATAATAGTGTTGTGTTTTGCGTGCACTATCCCTAAATAGTAGTCAGATTAAAATATATTTTAAATCTTTTCAAGAAAAGCAAAGCCATGGTTATTGATAAGTGATACTAGTATTTATATGGAAGCATTTTGGGGTAAGGTAGAATTAAATTTGTTCAAATCATAACCCCCTAAGGTAGGTTGGGGCAACAATGGTGGATCAAAGTTTTACATTGAAAAATAAAAGGAAAAGTCCCAAGATCAGAAAAGCTATTTTAAGCCATATTGATATGTAAACATCATCGTGTATTAAAGATTTAAATTATTCAAATCATGGCCCTTTGGGGTAGTGAGGGAAACAATGGGGAATCAAATTCCGGTAAATTCAAAATTTAGAACATGACAATTACATTTTAATGACATATGATAGGGCGTTAATATTTGACACAATATGCCAAAAATAATGGCATTCCATCAACTAAGACACTGAAAGCGGGGGACCACAAATCTTTGAATTCGCTTGTTTAAATCAAATAGGGAAAAATGTTATCTTATTAGTAACATTTTCTAATAATTAATTTTTGTTTGTATTCTAGTCTCTCATTGGTTGACTTCCAAAAAGGAACGCAAAATATTTCTCAATAATCCGGTTTGGTATGGGGACACACCCCCTTTGCAACCAGCTGAATCATCTATATCCATGCAATCCCCTCATTTTCAGTCCTTTGGATTCATGAAAAATTCCAGATTTAACAAATGAACCTAAACTTCAAATAGTAGCTCGATCTTACCTCGTATAAACAAACATCACGGCTGCTAGATCTGTGTATCAGTTATTACCTCCCCTTGTTTCATATCACTTCCGTTACTAGGGATGTATTATTGAGCGGCAAATTTGAACTCATAATGATCAGCACAATTTTACACCCACAATTGTTTAATTATTTTAAAATTAAATTATAAGGAATTACTCTAATTCTTGGCCAAATTATTCAATGATAACCTGGTTTTGGTCAGTTTACGCGTTTTTATAATCTGCGAAGCGGATTATAAAGCGTAAACTGATCTAAGAGTCATTCCTTAAACATTTATGTAGTTCACGTAATGTATTGTAAATAAATCAATAGTTTTAGATAATGCAATACCTGAATGATAACCCGAGCTTTTGATATAGGTCAAAGATTTCAATTATCAAGGATTACATATGATTTTGTTTTATCAGATGATAATAATTTTATTTTTGATAAAGCTACATCATCTGGCTAAACGTGTTTGAATGACTGAGCTCCATTACAGTTTACCAAAATGCACTGGATTTCAAGCATCTTCATGGTATTTCTATGTACATTTTTAGAAGCAGAGAGTCTGTTGTTCCAAGGGCAAACCAATGCGTCGGCATCTAATGGACATTCTGATCCTGATGTGTACAAACAACTTCTTCATTTAGAAAGAGTATTGGATTCTATATTGATGGATCAAAAACAACAAGCTCTAAAAAATCAGCGTTTTGAACAGCAACAAAAGTTACTAGAGGAAGGGTTTTAGACACTGAGGCAACGGAATCAGACAGCTCAAATTTAGATATCATTGTTAGAAAGTGAAAACAAAATCTTGAAAGAAAGACTAGACAACTTGAATTCTTCAACCAATCCATCACAGCATGATATTTGCTTAAATGAAAAACTGAATTCAACAACAGCATTTTTACTTCCAGAGAATACAATGCTGAAAGACCAGATTCAGATTTTGAATTCTACTTCCATGCTTATACAACACAATATGTCTACTTCAGAAGACATAAGAAGGCTGGATAACATCTTTACATTTGAAATAGAGCAGACAGTCAAACACATTGAAGACAAAATGATGAACAACATGTCTGCCACAATCACAGACCTGGAACTACGAGACAGATATCTATCATTTTCTCTGTTGGATGTACACAATAACACAGCGAGGTACTCGGAGCGCATGATACTTTAATGATATTATGGACATCTTTGTATATATACCTTCCTATTCATGAAACACATTTCCGCATTGCTCCTCATTCTATTATTATCATAACTTTAACTATTGAAACAATTTTTAACATTCAAATGTCAGGTGATGTGTCGACTTTGCACTGTCTTATTTTGAATACATTGTCGATATAGCAATGTTGGACAAAGTCTTTGTTTATCTCTATAGCAGTGTTAAACTATCACTGGCGGATTTAGAGGGGGGCCAGGGGGCCTGGGCCCCCCTTTTGTGTCCCAAAAATTACACAATATTTAATAAATGAAATGTTTTTTGGTGCGGCTGTGGGACCCTACCCTGACCTGAAACTGGGCGGGCCCCCCTTTTCAAAATTTCTGGATCCGCCACTGACTATATCGAGTAGAAATCTTTTTAGAGTTTTTTTGTTCATTTACATCCTTCACATTGTCGACATCGCAATGTTGGACGATATTGAGTCGACATCGTTTCAACGTTGCATTCTGTTTTCTTGTTTATATTGTTAGCAGTGTCGACATTGCAATTTTGGGCGAAATCAAGTCAACATCTTGTAAACATTAAACCTTTTCTTCTTGTTTACATAAATTACATCGTCTTTAGCACAACGTTCGCGATGAAAACTCAGTCTCAAATCAGCATTTATTACATTGCGTTGTTGACGATGTTGACACGGAAACTATAACATTGTAGACGAAGTACACTCGAAATCATATCAACATTGTATACAATTCGATGTGAACGTCGACATTAAATGTAGAAATAATATCAATATAGAGGATGTAAATTCGATATCGCGTAAACATTGTGAACAATGCGATCACATCATAATGATGCACGAAAAGCTTAACATTGTCGACACTGCCTTGTTGTCAATGTCAATAAATTATATAGAAGTACTAACAATTTCAACAATATATCGTGTTAAAATTGTCTAGATTGCACATGTTGCAATGTCGACAATATTAATTTGATAAAGTGAAGTGGACATGAATGAACTCGATCAGCATGGCTAACAACATCTCTTTACAGTTTGGATGCACAGAAGCAACAAATGAAGAGTGAGATCCAAGCACTGACAAAGTCACAGCAAAATGAGATCACCCAACTTAATAATACAATTATCCATTTTAAAAATCGTACGTATGCCTACTCTTATTTTTTTCTTTTTGTTCAGAAAAGAACGATAAGTACAGTGTAATAAGAGAGCAACTTTTACTAATTAAGGGACTTATTTGTCCTGAAAAATATTTTTTTTTTAAATACAAGACAAGATAATGATAAAACTGTTAATAAAGTTTATTTCATTTTTCTTTTGCAATGGGGGATAAGGGTTTTATTCATATTTTAATTCTTTTCTGAGGTTCCTCCCACTTAGTTTTCTAAACTGTAAAATTTAAGAAAACCTAATTTCTCCTTATGTGAGTTCTCTCACGAAATGTATGCTTTCTCCACTTTACATTATTTCTATGTTTGAAAAGGGACATAAAAGAAATAGTTAATTCATTGATCTATGCATAGTGTCATTTTACGTAAAAATGTTATAATTAGCTTTAAAACCTAAACTGTTTCACACATTTCATGTTTTTAATACATTGTATATAAAACTATTGAATAATCGGTACAGGTTTATGCATTCAAGATAAACTTTTTGTTTTGTTTTACAAAATAATACTAATTCCTATAAATAAATGAACAATAATTATTAGACTGCAAACACTACCCTCAATTGAATAAAAGATATTCAAGTTTGCAACATTCCCTTTTAATAGACCTTACAGAACCTATGACTTTAAAAAAAACATTTTTGACACATAGACATACATCATACAATATCATGTTTGTGGTAATTGGTTGCATTAATTTTACACAGAGATATGAACCTGTTATAAAATTTCAATTTACCATTCATGACAATTATAGAACTCCATTTTATTGTTTGTGTATTTTTACTAGGTGTTCAATCCAATGTAGCTTTTACAGCTGGAATTTTAGGAGAGACAAACGGGCAACATACATATGCAAGTGGAGATATTGTTAAATTTCCAAAATTCATATACCAGGTGGGAGGAGGATACAACCCTACAACAGGAGTGTTTACTGCCCCAAAGACTGGACTCTACATCATATTCTGTACTAATGTGGCAGCACATCAGCAAGTATTTTATACACAAATAATGATTAATGGATCACCAAAGGCAGGAGTCTAGGCTTATGTCCATCCAACTTCTGCGTATATCCATCAGTCAGCCTCAAACCTTGTTGTCCACCAGTTACAGGTTGGGGACAGAGTGTGGATACAAGTATATGATGGTGGTCATCTGTACTCAAACATTCCAGATACAACATTATCTGTGGTAATGATCAATGGATCAGACTGAAACTAACATGTCATCGATTATTTCACTCTTATATGAATCTGAACAACTTCCCACTTTCTCCAGATAAAAAAAATCTTACTCGAATCAATAATTTTAGAAAACTAATGATATAAGAAAAATAAAGATACAATTACTTGACAGCACATCATTCTAATGCCTCTCGTATTAAGAAAATAAATATTTGTAATTTATTATCAATAATTTCCAGTAACCGTTATAGATATTTCATTATATGCAGTTCAGTATAATATGATAAGAATGGTAACGTTGTTTTCATATGATGTTCAGAAGTTGCTATGATTGTAATTTAATCTGACATATAAATAAAATTTATGCATTCCTGCTGTTCTTTTAGTTACTCTTTCCACGTCATGATGGATTACCTAGACAAAGGTTTTGATGTGTTTCATTACTGATGCAGACACTTTCACAGGAAATCTTAGATTTGTGGTTCAATTGTCCACATGAAGATATTGTACCGAAATCAACAAGCACAAATTCATACAATTTTTATATTAAAAACAATTACTTTTAAAGATGGATGGATATAATGAAAGTTAATTGAAATAAATATCAACACTATTATTTTTTCAATATAAAATAGCATGGAGTTTATAAGAAAGTGGAAACTGAAACTGTTACAAAAGATAGAAGAGGTTAAACAATTATTATGCAGCAATTATATGCAGCTGAACTGTCGCTCTGAACAATGAATATTGTTTACAGAGTTGTTTTCTTTACCGAATTATAATATGGAGCACACAGCAACTGTGCCCGGTTGACCGGAGATACGAGGGGCGCTCAATAAATAATGTCATTGGGGCTAAGAAAGAAGCAAACGACGCTTTTCAATGATTAAGTCTTCATGATTTTACTTATTAATCTCTTTTAATTCAAACACATGTCCGTTACATTTTTTATCCAATTTCTTATTGTTTTTAGAACTCATTTTTTGGGTATGACCCTTAGTATACTGGAAAATGGCAGATCCAATGATATCCTGGACTTGTTTTTTCCTTATGAAAGGTGTTTTTTTCAAGTTTGGAAATAGAAACAAGTCAAAAGGTCAAAGATCTGGCAAATGTTGTTAATGTGAAAAAACATTAACTTTCTGTTTATCCCGTAAACCCCTTTACTCTTTAGGGCATGCGGGTTTGAACGATGCCATGAAGAAATTCAATGTAGTGGATTCCTGATTCTGGGTCCTTTCTCTGATAAACCTTTCGATTTCTTTGCAAAAAAACTGCTTTCTAGACACCTCCAGATATTAAGCTGTCTCCCCGAATACGAATTGAACAATAATACCACTAATATTTAAGAAAATTGCATATAAATCTGTTTTTATGTTCTTGCATACCTTTGCTTTTGACAGACCTTCGCCGTTTTTATCAAGTACATCTTATGTTAAATTTTGTTTAAATGCAATAGATTCATGTTTCAATATCTGTTTGAATATAAAATAAACGTGGATTACTACAATTACTGATATTGTAAAATAATTGCTAAGACTTTGGTACACGCTGTCGTTTTCACCTATTTTTCAAAATACAGGGTGACCTTAGAGTACCAAGTTTAATTACTGTCAAACGTTTCTTAAAAACAGTGTAAACTACTCACGATATGATGTCTATCAAATATTCTATGTGTCTTAAAGTCATTCATACAACATCAAATATAATTTGTTGAAATTTGGCAAACAGTACATAAGTTGTTATAATTTTTTTTGGCAAGGAGGGTACCCATTTTTGATACTCATTATATAATTTTTTATCGTTGACCTGCTAATTTATCTATAAAACAGGCATCGGTTGCAGTAAATGTCACATACAACGTATTTCAGAGAATATTTCTTTGGGATTTTTCACAAGTTTTACAGCAGCTTTAATGTAGCTTTTATTTTCACTCTAGTTTACTGATTCTTTACCCTTCATTTATAATGCATTGTCTCGAATAGCCCTTGTTTCCCAGCTTCTCACGACAAAACTATGTGATGAAAAGTGGTCACATAAACTGTTATAAATTCATTAAAGATTCAATAATGAGAGAAAGTCAAGCTTTATGTCATACATGTATGACTACTATGTTGTATGTCATCGAGCTAATGACATTATTTATTGAACGCCCCTCGTATTGTCTTGTGATGCAATTATACACACACATAAGGTATAAATTGCATGTTTAACGTAAGCAAACTTTAGACAACACAAAATTTAACGAGGCTAGGGAGTGGAAGCCATTTTTAGACTATTTCAATCTCCTTTAAAAGGAGAGCTCCATATAAAGATATACAAAATTATAAAATTTTAAAACTAAAATATATGAATTTTTTCTTTGTCAAATGATAGTTGACAGCTAAAGATACCATATGTTAAAAAATAAGTTAAATCTGGTGGTTAATTTGGGATTAATTTGTTGACTCTCCAGCCTCCTTAAAATGTTAATGATGGAGTAGCAGTTTATTAACTTGTGTCAGTAAAGTGAAATCTATATGTAAAAAAAATTACACCAAACAATCTGACATCATCTAAAATGTAAATGAGACAAATGTATGTTTATAACATACAAATAATAAAATATATTACGACAAATGGTACAATGATCATGCGTGACATTTTTGCAAGTAAATGTGTAACCCATCGATCAAGCAACAACAGTTACAGAGTCCTATTATCTACTTATAATTCCATAAAATACTCCCTCTATCAGCTATTTTACAAATCCTTATAAGCTAGAAAGAAATCAACACAGTAAAATATCACAATAAAACAGATGTACATCGAGTATTAAAAATAATTTGGAACAGAAATTTTTAGATAGCACAGATTGGAAACTCTCTATTGCTTCTTAATGCACTATATGTTTGCTTAGCTATAATGCCACTTTACACCACTCTAACTCTAAATCCTCACGGCCACAATGAAGTTCCTGCTTAACTGCTACAAGAACAATCTTTAGTATTGACCTTGTCTGTAGCTGCCTATAAAAAACAATTTAACTTCCGTAAATCTACTCTAGATTATTAACAATCAAGAAAATGAAAATGTTTTATGACAAATAAGGATGCAGGCACAAAATGATAATAATGACGTCAGCAGTTTGATCAGAAATCGAATAACAAAGAATAACAAAATATTTCCTATTATATGAACAAATCATGCATAAATATTTAACATGGCTAGTAGACAAACACTCTAAATATTAGGCAACAATACCTGGGTAGGAATTCTTAACCTCCTTTTTTAGATTTAACAGAGATATCAAGAGATATATATTCTTATATATATATGCCCTGGAAAAATAAGATGTTTCGGCATTCAATATTGATTTATTAGAACTTTTTCATGATTCAGAACATATACAACTCTTGTTAATGTAAAACTTTCACCAGATTGAACATTTTTTTTTATCAAAAGTAAGTAAAGTCTTAGTACTGTTATGGGTCAGAATAACCCTAAATGCCAGCAAAGATCAATCACACAGTTTAAACTTAACAATAATTTATTTACAGTAATATACAAATCATTAAGTACAAACTTAGCAAAAATCTAAAAATACATACTTCAGAGTGTCCGTTGCTGCACACAATGTCCCAGTGAAAATATATCCCAGTAATACCTCAATGATGCTTATACGACAAATTATCTATGCATCGAATTGACAGGGTATTTATACAGTATCATAAATCTAGAATATTCTAGAAATTGTAAATACATGATATTCCTGGAAAGTTCTGGACATGAATAAAGAAAAAAATGACCAAACATATTGACCACTCTGGAATGTTCAAGAAACTTAATGTTACTAATAATATACATGATGAAACAATACACATCTCACAACACCTCCCCCCTTAAAAGTTTGAATGTCAATGAAAACTTATCTTGTTAAAACATATGTACATTAATACAAAATCTAATTTGTTCATGATACTCTGGACAAGGCATCTGCAATAACATTGTCTTAGCCTTTGATATGCTTAATTGTTATGTTGTATTCTTGTAACAACAAACTCCATCTAGTCAGTCTTTGATTCTTGTTTGACAATTTATGCAAAAATGTCAGGGGGTTGTGATCCGTATATACAAGAATTGGATGCAAAGTAACATTCAGATAAACATCAAAATGCTGTAAGGCTAACAACAAAGCAAGGCATTCCTTTTCAATTGTGGAATACTTTTGTTGACATTTTGTAAGTTTCTTTGAAAAATAAGAAACAACTCTATCTACATTATCACTATGTTCTTGAAACAAAGCTGCCCCGATTCCAACATCACTAGCGTCAACAGTAAGCTTAAATTGCTTCGAAAAATCTGGAGTTGACAGAACTGGGTTGCTCATAAGGACAGATTTGATTTTATGGAAGGATTTTTCACAGTCCTTTGTCCATTCAAAATTAACCCTCTTTTGTAAAAGATTTGTAAGTGGACTTACAACTGAGGAAAAATCTGGACAAAATTTTCTGTAAAACCCAGCCATGCCCAAAAACCTCATTAACTCTTTCTTGTTTGTAGGAATCGGGAACTTTGCAATAGCTTCCACTTTAGCCATAATAGGTGTAACATAACCTTGACCTACTTTATGACCTAAATACTCTACATAGGCATGACAAAATTCGCTCTTCTCAAGGTTCACAGTTAAGTTTGCTTTAGCTAAAATGTCAAATAAAGCACGCATGATTCGGAGATGTTCGTCCCATGTGTCGCTGTATATGATGACATCATCAATGTAGGCCTCGCATCCCTCAAGGTCTTGAAGAAGGGAGTGAATCATCCTTTGGAATGTAGCCGGTGCGTTTTTCATGCCAAAAGGCATTACTTTATACTGGTAAAGTCCATCTGGTGTAGCAAAAGCAGATATTTCTTTTGCTCTTTCTGTTAACGGTACTTGCCAGTAGCCTTTCAACAGGTCAAATTTACTGACAAATTTCGCGTTTCCAATGTTGTCAATACAGTCATCGATTCTAGGTATTGGATATGAATCAGTTTTGGTAACAGAATTCA